CGTTAAAAAATTTACATAATTTCAAAAGTTGGTAAATCTTGATTCTCACTGTATGAACATTGCCTTAAGTGGCATTTTGCCTCGAGACATACATCTGGTCTTAAGTCAAAATGCCACTTACACCTAGTTCAATAATTCTATTTCTTGATTGTTTTATTGTTTCTATATATGACAAGAGTAATTTAAGTGACGAAAGTCATATATCTTCTATAATGAGTCCCAAGCAATTATCGCGTTTCAAAAGAAGCACTAAATGAATTAATCTGGTTCAGTATATTAATTAAACTAGACGTTATTCGCATATGAATTGCGGCCATGAGAAATGCTAATGAAATGTACATCATACAGGCACCTAGAATATATGCATGTTAATCGTGATATCTCACATTTATGTATGATAAGTTCAACGTACTCTCGCATCCGGGCCGCTAGTAATTCTAGCGTAACGCCCGACAAAACTCAGTTTTGACGGCACTCGGACTCGCACCAACTCGGACGGGCAAAGAGCGTTCGCGATTAAAACAGGATGGATGGAATTAATAACACTTTCGTCTAACGACACTTGTAAACAATACCGAATGATGTTTGTTTGCTTTCTTGATTTTCATTTTGTGTACATTGCTGAAATGTTTTTATGTACTTTGCTCTCGTTGCATGAGCAGATTGAGAGAGGAATCTGTAACAATATGATATAATACATAAAAAATAGAATTTAAACTTTTGTTAAATTGGAACAAGAACTTGGAGCTGTTGTGATAACTTCCTAATGCTATGGCTTTTTAGATGGCAACCAAAACGGTTGTTCGATCTCTATGTTTTTTTTTATTTGTTTTTATGAATTACAATCTGTCGTTCACTACTTTTGATGTTTATTTTTAAACAACATTCAGTAATTTTAATGGTCTATTATATAAGGAAAAAAGGACGAAAGGTCACCCAATGGTGATCCTTTTCCATCTTGATCATGTGTAGCTTATAGAAGTAATAGTGGTACTGATGCGAAAACATTAATTATCAAGCCTACGGTAGTACGATCTGTAAGTAATTAATTTACTATTACACTTAGTTGCTCTGATGCAGGTCTGTGAGTTGAATTAAACTCCAACTCGATTCAGGGAAGAAGTAGTATGAAACTTTTTCCCATTTCCATTTCACACCATAGTGCCAGAGATGGGCTTATTTTCAAATGGAAACATATTTTCATGTATATTACTTGTCAAATTGGCAGAGCTAGGAATCGAACGCGCGACCCCATACACATCAGTTCGCGCGTTAACGACCTCAGCCACGACAACCTTAATATACTTATGAATTTGAAAGGCTATTTTCACTTTGTTTTTGATGTCCATATCTCGAACCACTAACTCATGATGGAGCTTCTATAATTTATTATATTTAAAGCTTATAATAATTATTAAAAATGATTCAAAACTATGGTGAAAATGAATGAATTATAATCCTGATTGCTTGGCTCAGAGGGAGCTTTCAAGCATCAAAGGAAAAGTTTCAACACGCTTTAATCATGTTTATTATTTTCTCTATAAATATTTTTATTATTATTTGAATATTACACTAACTCGGGTTCGACAAAACTTTGTTCATAACGAGCTCAATTTTTTTTTTATTAAAATCCTATCCTATGTTTAAAACTTTATATAACAGCCAACAATTTCATATTTTTTTTGATAAAAAAAACATTTTATTAAAAATAATTCAATAAAATTATTTTTTATTCGTGTTGTTTTGTTTTTTGCTTATTAGCTCTTTTTTTAATACGTTTTTTACTTTTTTTAAATCTTTTATTGACTTATAGTACCATATAGATAGCAGTATGTCTATACTAAATGTGCATATATTTTCTTATTTTAGTTTTAATTGTGCAAATAGACCCCATAACTCGGTATTGATAGTTATAGCATGGATTTTAAAAAAATAACAGAATATATAATAAAATATATAACAAATAAAAAAGTATAAAGTTATTTCGACTCGTACTCTGCAAACGACATAAAACAAATACATTTTCATCAAATGTATACTACATGATACACCTAATTTTTGTTCATATATTTTTTTCAATTGAACCATTTTTATTAAGATTGACAGTTTTTACAAAAATATATATATTTTTTAAAGTTCGATCCCTAAATTGTGTATTGATCTAATATCGACATAATCGATTTTTTATAATAGTGAATAAATATGTGTATGTAAGCATTGGTTTATGTAATTTTGAATTATATTAGAAGAAAAGATAATAACATGAAATAATGGCGTCTAAAAATACCTCGTAATAAAACATGCCCAGGCTGAAATGTGTTTACGACTTCATAAATAGTTTTATTATTTCTCTATTGTTCTCGTATCCATTTCTCGTTATTTATAAGGTATGAAAGTAAAAGTAACAATTGTAATATTTAATTCACTGCATTGGAATGAATAAAAATTGAGCTACGATGACTTGAGGTAAAATGATTTAAAAAATATCTATTAATAATTTGATTTTCAAGAAAATAAAGATGCTATAAGTTGTTAAGTAATATTTATTTTATAATACAAACGATGCTCTGTTGTGAACCATGCCTGGTGATACATATCTCAAAGAAAAATAAAATGTAAGCCCTCAATTGATAAATTATATCATCATCTGCTTAAATAAAACAAATATTTTCTGAAGAAAATCCTTCCCCAATGTTGGAATTTATTTTACGATCTGGCACTTAAGGCTGTAGGATTTAAAAATATTTTATTGTTTCTTTGTCCGGTGGAGAGATCGAATGCTACGAGCACAAAAGAAGATTACAATCCGCGCAGCTCCATGAAAACTTTTCTCATTTGTTGCTTTTACGTTTAGGCATTTGTGTTCGGAATTATATATTGTGCTCCTGGGCTTAGGTTAGCAATAAATTGCCTAAGGTTTTTACGGGTGGCTCATTAAAATTTACTGCCTCGATGCTTTTTGTGACAATACTCTCTATTGCATCGGTGGTTTTTATGTAAAATGTAGCGCGCATATAAATAGATTTATTAGATTGAGCAGCATGGAATAATGGATAACTTGAGTTTTACTGCAAGATAAAATTGACATGAAATACGGTTTTAGGGAGCACAGCACGTATTGTTCTTATTTATACATGGAAAATTTGGATTTATTTGGGTTTTATGTGTGGAATGTGCACAATGATGCATTTGTTGGGCGAACAAGATGTTTAATGTGCTCTGAATAATATCACAACAGCATGATTTTATTATGTTAAACTACTCCTTAAACTATCAAGAGATCTCCTGTTAGATCAAATTAGTTTTCCAATTTTGATAGTAAGAAAAACAGCAATTTCACTAATTTTGTGTATATTGTGATAATGCGACAAAGTAAGAAAGCACATTTGTTTTCAATAGGCTTGAGTTGTTCTAATCAGAAAGTTTAATCATTTCGAACTCAACACTTGATTTTTTCTATTTATCACTTATATGGTCATGAATTCAAACAGGTAATAGATGTAATAAATGAATGAAAGAACAACAGGTCTCCCATCTACTACAGAATAGCACACGTACACCAATACCAACTAGCTTTCTACGTACATTTTACTCACTGGGATAAAATAACATTCTCAGAAATGACCGTGGCCGAGTTCCAACGCGAAAAATAAGTGGTTTAGCCAAATACATCATCACAGCATTATTTTGCATCTTGCTGTTCATAGTAAAGGAAATTTACTGCATTTGAAAATTGACTTTATTACGTGTTAATTATACGAATTTGGTAGGATGATAAAATAGTCAACTTTTATTATGAACAACACATTCGTAATTTATTTTATTACCAGCAATAACATAGGGGGCATAGCTCAGTCAGTAGCCCAACTCATAAGTCAGAGATTCTTGGAACAAGACCTGGTATTGTCATTGTTGAGTTAAAATTCAATAAAATCTGTTGCTCAGTTAGTAGCATTTTTGACTCACCCTACATAAATCATCGGAACGAGTCCTGGTACTGTCATCGTTGAGTTGAAATTGAATGAATTTGAATGGTTGAGTTGGAATTGAATAGAATTAGAAGTAAATGGAAAATCAAGATCAGAATATAAAATATTAGATTTAGAAGGAAAGAATATGGAAGAAATCTGTTAAAAATATTGAGAAATTGGGTTCAATCTTTGTTTTAACAAATATAGGGTACTAGCAAACCGAATTTTGTTTCACCACCAGATGGTTTCATTTTATGTAACATTTTGTTTGGTGATTAAAAGATAAAAAAAAATTGCCTGTTGTTGAAAAATTTGCACAATACACGTTATTGATTTGATGGTTTCCAATTGAAATGTTAGGTAACGAATAACTCATCCTTTTCACCTTTTTTGCACAATTTCACAGTGAACACAATGCGGGTTTGTCACATGAAATTAACTGTGCAGAGAACAATGAGTAGCTGTCAAACAAATGAATTGCAGTCAAACAAAAAATATTAGTTTGTAGTATATGCTAAGTATTAGAGATGCTTTTTCTGTTGAATTTTTTTTCAATTTTCTTTGCTATAAACCTCACGGAGTCCGAGACCTTTCCAACGAATGCAAAATCGTCGTAATCGGTTCGTGCGTTTTGGAGTTATATCGTCAAGAAGGAAAACCCGACTTATTTTTATATAATAGATGATAAATGGAAATATTGTTGGCTCAATTCTCTGTGTAAGCACAGATAACACATATCAAATAAACCTGTTTTCCAAAAAACTAGTGAAATAGGGCATCCAGGGGGCAAACAGGTCTAATGTCTTATTTTTAATTTTAAAGGAATTTTTAAAAAAATAGCTATATACCAAATATTCAAAGTAAACTAAATACTAGCAATGTTAATTTTAATTTATATATAATAAATATAATAAAAAATAATTTATTTCTTTTTGATTGCAGATTGAATGCAAGAATCTACATAACGCACAACAATACCAAGACAAATCAAACCAATTAAAAACCTAGCAACTTCTATATTTAATTGTGCAAGTGTTTGTGCAATAGTTTACAGTTTAGTGATGCTTAAAACAAGTTTTGAAAAATTAGCTCAGTGAGTTGTGTAGTGATAGACTGAGTTTGTGTTTATATCATTTGATCTGCAAATCTGCTGAAAAATAAAGGAAATAAGTAAATTAGTTGAGAGTCTGAGGATAAGAAGAAGTGAAGTTCAGTTGTTTTAGAGAGTATATAACATTAGTAAAAAGTCTTTTATTACAACGGAGAAAAAACAATCGGTTCTATTTGGGAATGCGTCCTCGATTGCCATGAGAGACGCTGCCGAGGCATTAACCCGTTGTCTCCTGACCTCTTCGTTAATGCATCCTGCGCGTTGCCGACAGCCCGTGTCATCAAGATCGGAAGACGGAGTCAGAATATGCGATGATTCGGACCTGACATGCGCTCGATGCTCCGGGGTCTTAGTCGATGCTGTCACGGCTCAGTGTGGACACTCGTTTTGTCGCAGATGTGTTGGCACTAATAGTGAGTATATTGTCAAAAACCGATTAAAATTAATAATAAAAGAATTTTAATGCCATAGAGGAAAATAACTATGCAATTGACAAGGCATAATAACAAGTCAAGTAATATTCAAAATCATATATTTTTAATATTTGTTTTTTTACAAAAACTGGTATCATTTGGCATTGTTTGGATTTTTTTTCTTGAATTTTAAGCTATGTATGTGAGTTTTTTTTAATTTTTGAATAGCGAAGGAAGTATGCATCCCAGACCGACAATATGTCTTTTGTCTGGGTATGTCGGAATGCTGCCTGGGTATAATACCGAATAAACCCCCAGCTTATCTCTTGCCTCTGTTCCCCACGGAAACCGCCGTTAGGAATTACTTTATGGGGGGAGGATCTAGAATGCTAAAATTTTTGCTCTATAATTATATTTTCCTTCTGATTATTGCACTCGCTTTCATATATATATATATATATATACATATATACACATGTGGGACAAAATCATCGGGCCATATATCTAATAAAAATGAATTTAGCAAACCCTTTATTACGTCCAAACGATTTGGATATAATTTTATGTCATTTTCAGTGGAATTTAAGATAAATTGCTTCCATTGCTTGATATGTCGGAATACCGCTTGGCTATAATACCGACTAGGCATTACTTCATGGGGGGAGAATCAAGAATGCTATAATTATCGCTCTCAAATTATACTTTCCTTTTAATTATTGCCATTTGCTTTCATATGTATGTATGTCTATGTATATATACATACAGGTGCAAAATCTTCAGGACAATTTATCTAAAAAAATTGTAGATGTTAGCAAACCCCTATATTACGTCCAAACGATTTGGGTATAATTTTATGTCATTTTCAGTGAAATTTAAGATGAATGGAAGCATCATTGCTTATATCTCAGAATACCGCTTGGCTATAATACCGACAAGGCATTACTTAATGGGGGGAGGATCTAGAATGCTAAAATTCTCGCTCTGAATTTATGTTTTCCTTCTAATTCTTGCCATTCGCTCTTATATGAATGTATGTATGTATGTATGTATGCATATTTATACATATGTGGAGCAAAATCTTCAAGGCAATACATCTAAAAAGAATTGTAGAAGTTAGCAAACCCTTTATTACATCCAAACGATTTGAGTATAATTTTGTCATTTTCAGTGGAATTTAAGATGGATTGCTTGAAGCAATTTGCTTCCAATTAGCTTCTAGTTAACAAAAAAATATTAAATTTTCTAGACATTCCTTCCATTTTTTTCAATGGAAGATTAAACAGTTTATTTTATCATTTCCATTTGACTCGACTTATGATCCTATGTCATCAACATTCTTTCAGAATGACCAGTAATTGAAGCATGTGTACTCATAACTTGCTTTTTCATATTCAATCTATATTTGTGTAATATTTAAATGGTCAAAAACTTTTTTAGCAGAGCATTCGTTATTACTTAATTAAAGTTAAAATTACCACTGAAGATGACTTAGGATCATTTAATAAATGTAATATAAAATATCGTTCACTTTTATTTCGTGTATTGAGCTGAAAGTGTTGCAAATAATAATGAAATATTAAGATATTAATAATTTATTATTATTAATTAATAAAATATTCATTCTTTACTTTTCTAACATCAACAAGTATGTGCCATTGCTCATGAAATTTTTACAAAAATTACATCAATAAAAAAAAATTATACATACATAAATTTTCAGTAAAATATCGCACAATGAGTGTTCAATCTTTTTATTTCGCAAAAAAATAGAACAAAAAAAAACTAATATTAACGAGTTAATACATAAAAGTGAAAACTATGTATAAAATGCTTGTTTTATTTAAAATATTTATTTTTTATATTTTTTGTCTTCATTACTTATTTTCAAATGACTTGCTAAAATTATAAGATAATTTCAGGCATTTTATTTTGGAAACATAAGGAATAATGCTACATATTAATAAATGTTATTTTTGTAGTATCTACTACAGCTAATTATTTTCATTGACCAAATTATCAAAAAATTATTTTATATTTAATTTTTTTTGTATCTTTTATTTTATCCTTTTCCAGCATCATCCCTACCTCTCAAAAACCAGCAATGTCCCCGTTGTGGTAGCTTATGTTCCGGTCTGGGCGACGACACAAATGTCCTCGAACCGGACATTCTAGTCCGCAGTCTGGTCGAACGATTTTGGGGTCCAGAAATCAGAGCAGCCAGCCTGGTTCCGGAAGTAGAACGTCAACTGGCCGCCGGAAACAATGAACGAGCGCTCCGGCTGTGCGATGAGGGATTGCAGCATGGTGAGTTGAAATTTAATTATTTTAGTTTTTATTACTTTTTCATATGATTTTTGTCAATTGCCCGTGTTGATAAAAGTGTCATTGAATGTTTGGAAGGCATACTTAAGATCAAGTTATAACTTAATCGATGTCGTGACCTACATTCTAATTTTGGACACATGATATTCATCATATTCTTCGTTATAGAGATTAAATAAAATTAAAGTTATTAAAAACATACCTGGTGTTCTATCATTTATATAAAATTATTTCAATTTATTTTTATTTATTTTTACTCTGTTTTATTCAGCAATCATAAATACGTAAGAATTCCTATAAGCTACATTGACAATAGTTGAGAGCGATGTCTAAGAAGAACTCCAATGAGATCTTCTTAGTTTAACAATTAAAAAGATAATGATATATTGAAGCTAATCTAAGAGTAAATGTAAAGGCTATTGACGTTTTGAATGTGATTCCAGTTTATCTTTGTATTTTTCCTTAAATTCTTTGAACGTTAATTGTACCGTTTTCATGTTGAGATCGCTGTGAATGGTTTCATTTGTAACATACCACGGAGAATTAAGTATTGTACGTAAAATTTTTGACTGAGTTCTCTGCATTATAGCTATATTTGATTTGTAAGCACATCCCCAGAGCTCAATTCCGTAGGTCCAGATTGGCTTAATGATTGATTTATATAGCAGCAACTTATTTTCAAGAGAGAGCTTAGACTTTTTACGCAGTAGCCAATCAAATTCTTTCATTTTGATCATTGTTTGCTGCCTTTTTGTATTTCAAATTTATACTCAAAAATAATGTATTTACTTGAGTAATGCATTTTCACTTTTTTACTCAAATTTATTCCGTGCATCTAAAAACGTGCTTTGTAAATATCCTCAATAGCATAAAACTTTATTCTCAGTTGTTTTATATTTTAATGCATTTCTATGCTTATATTACAAAGTTTCAAAATCTATTTAACAACTACTTATTTAAAATAAATTACGGATTATAGACCTTGTTTTAAAAAGTTTTAATAATTCCCAGCGTATAATTTCCCTGATGAAAATGCAAAGGTCTCTTTGAAGCACGAAGTGGTGTTTCATAACTGCCAACCGGCAGATTGATTTGCATATTGACAAAAGCGCTCATTCATAGTTATCTAACCGTATTACATAGAAATATAATTATTTTAATAAACAATTTCTGGAGTGATTTGTATATTTCGATATATTAAACTATATCGAGGCTTCCGAAAATTCATTTCGATTTGCCATCAGCATCGATCAATATCACCACGTTACTTAATTTTTGTACGTTTGGTAACCGGTGTGTTATGTAAGATTTTTTTTATAAATATATCACGGAATTTACTTAAGATGTGTTAAGTCAAATAATTGCTTTGTTTTCGAAATTATGGGATTTTTTGTAAGAGAATATGGATAATTTGAATCAGCTTGAATAAGTTATAACATATACGTAATATAAAGTTTATGAAAATTAATATCTGATAGATTGACCCGAATTGGGTTTCGCTAGAGTAGAGCATATCTCTAAAATATCAGAACACAATTAATATACTAAAATATCAAAGGAAAGCAATCAAAGGAAAGTCAAATAAAAAATTTGACTGTAATAGCCTTTTGCTCTTTAGGTGATTTTTTTTTTTAGGATTTTACCAATTAAGAAAATATAACTTTGTTGATCGATTGTAATTTTGATACATTAAAATTACATTTAAATAAAATAAATTTATATAAACTTTTCCGTCGTTTTGCCAGATTGAACAGGATTTGTCCCATTCAATTTTTATATAGAGCATTCATATTTTTTCTAATAACTAATTAAGTCGTAGTTCAAAGCTCACAGTGTACATAATTGTTATTTATCTCCATATATACACATATACATATTTTCTATTACATAATGCCTGTAACATTCGCGCAACGCAAAGCGCGCTTTGCACAATAGGATTACACAAGTGAAACCCGGGACCGTTAAGTGGGTCATTTCTGCAAACGTATAAAGCGAATTGATAGGCCGTCGATACACCCAACCGAACCGATCGTATTATACTTAAATACGCGAATTTTCTAAAAAGATTGGATTTAGATTCATTTCTAAACTAGCTGTAAGTGGAATTCTGTCTTAAGGCAATTAAGGCATCGTGCCTTAAGGCAAATTGCTGAAACTTCCCGTACCAAAAGTTATTATTTTAAAAACGATTAACATTTTTGAAAAAAATTTACTTCGAAAAAATAAGATTTTTGACAAACAATTAGACAAAAAATTACTTTTTTTTGAAAAAAAAAATTTTTTATTATTTTTTTTTTTTAAATTTTTTTTTTATTTGAAAAAAATGTTTTCTTTATTTTGACATATTTTGAAAGATCTAAACTTTTTTTCCAAGCAATCGTACTGCTTTAACTGCATAAAGACGAAATATCAAACCGCGTAAGCCCCGCGTCGACGTCTAACGCGTAAACATTGGTACGGAACCCATAGGAATGTAAACCAAAATTATACTTATTGTTAAAATCTCTATAAAATATCTGATAATTTGATGTGCATATGTCTAATGATCATTTTTGACCGCCAAATGGCATTTTTTTTTACTTTTTTCATTAGATCTCCGAAACCGCTAGACCTGCCTTTATGAAAATTTGATCGGTTTTTCACATTATCAATACAAGTAAAATGTTTTTTGAATTATTAAAATCGGACGCTCCGTTCTCTTAAAAACTGAGTTACCGTTTTCGGCACTTTTTGCCCCGTATCTTCGGAACGGCTAGACCTGACTTCGCCAAAAACTAATCAGCACGTCTCCTTATCAATACGAATCGAATGTTTTTTGAATTATTCAAATCGGTTGATCGATGTTCCCGAAATCGTCGACGAAAATTTGTATCCGCACATACATACACACACACGCACACACACACACACACACACACACACACACACACATACATCCATTTTTTCTAAGGTATGCCAAAATATTCAGAAACCTTTGAAACGTCGAGAAATGCAAAAATTTTCATTTTCGATTTTTTTGCGATTACTATAACTTACCCTACGGGAAGTTAATAAGTTTGTACTGCTCCATATTCAAGCAAACTACAATACTTACAACGTGAAATTACAACTTCTTTATTAGATGAAGGCACAAAAGCTCTTTAGGCAAGTATCCTTCCATAGAAAGTTATATTCATATTTATTTTTAATACAATTTTATCAAACTTCCATGTGTTTCGAGTCCCAATTCGACTCTTCATTGGAAAGAATCGACTTGACAGAAGAAAGAAAAGAACTGGATCAACTTTTCATAAATATTGCTCAGGATGGACATCTTTTATATATCACGGCGGGTATACGAATGCAAAGGGTTAATTTTTTTTTTCCAAATTAAATACTAACATGGCCGCTTCTGAAGTATTTCGTTTATTAAATTTGGAAGAAATGTATGCAAGCAACAATTTTTTGTTAGAAACATAATTTAGATTTCTTTCCATTATGGGGATGAATGCCTACTTGAAAACTATAGCTTTCCGTAGGAGAAATTTGTTTTTGCGAAAAAATCTGATTTGTTAATTTTATGTTTTCAACGTTTCAAGTGAATCGAATGAGACCAAATTCGGAATGGTATGTTTTTTTGTACGGCGAAGGAAATGTGTTTATACATCCCAGATGAGGTCTTTTGTCAGGGTATGTCGTGCTCAATACGGCCTGGGTATAATACTGGCTTAAACCTCCGTTTATCTCTACCCTTAAGTCTTCCTTCATGGGGGGAGGATCTAGAATGCTATCATTCTCTCTTTTTATTGTATTTGCCTCCTAATTAGTTCCATTGCCTTTTCTTCTTGTCAATAATTCTAAATCTACTGTCTCCACGAAAACCGTCGATAGGCATTACTTCATGGGGGGAGGATCTAGAATGCTATGATTATCTCTTTTAATTATACTTTTCTCCTAATTAGTGTCATTCACTCTTCTTTTTACCGAAAATCGCAAGTCTATTAAAACTTGGATTGGAAAAGTATATGTGTGTATGTGTATGTATGTGAGCCAATTTTTGAGCTTTCATCGATGTTTTCACAAAAACGGCTGGACTGATTTCAAAAATTTGGAAGCTGCTCGATGTATTTCGATAAGGGATAGCGTTTACTAGTTTTGTTTTTAGCAGAAAAGTTCAAAAGTTTTAGTCCATGTTTTATGTAACAATTTTTAATCGATTTTAAAAATTCAAAAACCGTTCGAAAGATATTGATAGGAAATCCCGATAGTTAGTTTTCACCGGGTCGTTTCTTTGTAATTCAATGTTGAAAATAATTTTTATGACTATTTTTATGAAACTTTATATAACGACAGATTTTGAGGTCTGAAATAGCTTACAAAATTGTTATAGGCCTATGGTAAATGGTTGAATTTTAAAAAAATATCAAAGTTTAGAATTTTGCTGCGAGCTTCAGATCTATATCGATTATTAACCCTAGCCAAAAATTATATATGGCATGAATATTGCTTCTTTAGTATATAACGAAATTATTTTAATCCTTATATAACTGTTATTACATAAATTTCACATTACAAAATACATATCTCTATTTTTTCTTTAACAATATATGGGAACAGTTTCTTTGCGGTTGTAGAACCAACACTTCTGCAGCTGCTTCATGACACGTGTCTCCGTAATAGTTCTGCACTTGAATCATTCATCCGTCTTGCTGGCGAAGATTATTTTTTTATGACTTAATAAATTGCACAATCATTCATTAGGTGCGTTAACACACATTGGCGAATATTTTTGATTAGGGTTACAGCGCAAAAACTTTCTCTACTGATACCGAAAAAGGAGTTGGAAAAGAAACTGGGAATATTCTCCCAGATTTTCAAAATTAGTTGTTTGGATGAGAACTTTTCGACTGAAATATTAGACTCGCTTCATTAGGTCTGATGGGGATTTAATTATTAAAGATTGTTTCTTTTTAAAACATGAACAAGTTACAAACTTTGGAGAT